AAAATATAAGCATGCCATCTAATGCCCAAGTCACCAAGATACGGCGTTTTACTAAAGATCCGAAATGACCAAGCAGCTTTTGGTTTTCTGAATATTTGTATCTGAGCGAGCAAAACGAAATTAAAACTCCTGACATGTAAAGTTATTAACACTGATCTTTTTGTTGTTGCTATGTAATATTCTGATGGGAAACCTCTGATCCTGATCACATCTGTTACTTTGACACAAACTATGAATTATAACTCTGCTACAGACCAATCAACCCATATTATAACAACAGCACTCCCCGATGGCAGCTGTCTCTCTCAGCAGGACAATCCCCAACACAATGAGTGTCTGACCTTCTTAGGCCCCATCCTGCAACTCACTAAAACCTAAGGATCTGGTGCCAGGCACCACAGGACATTGCGGAGCTACAGCTGTTTCTGCAGAATGTGGTAGATCTGCAGAACATCAAGCAGGTGTGTGATTTTAATCTTCATAAGAAGATGTCACACTTTACAAGAGCTGGCTTGGATCCATTTAAAGTTGAAAGGAACAGCCACCAAAATTCACCAAGCCCTCCTGTGAAAAAGGTTAGGAACATATATCATGATGCCACAACGAACAAATGAAGCCCAATCCTCTTAAGCTGCCTTCAGTCCACGAAACTGTGTTGTGTTTAAAAGGCACAGCTAACTGACATCAGGTGTCACGTTGCTGTTTGTGAAGCATCCTGAAGTGAAAGAGATTCAGTCGCATATGATGTTAAACACTAAGAAAACAGCAGCAGGATGCAGTGACTCAGACGACCAGAAAACCGGATGTTTAGCAGCTGGAAGCAGAAGGTTTGAGTTGATTTTGAAACGGTGCAGCACGGGGAGCGTTTCATCACCGCTGGTGTGTCATCAGACGCCGATCATTAGGCAACAGACTCTAACCTGGCACTTACTCAGATGTTATTTTCAATCCCTGACTGACAAACACAGACACACAGTGAGAAAAAGTACTAGCTGCAGATCTGTTCCCATGGTAACGTGGACCAATAGATCTCAGCTATTGACTGAGGATGAAGATCTCTGTAGACCTATTAAAGAAAACGCCTACATTCACATACTGTATGAGCCTGCAAACACACACACATACACACACACACCAGCTGGGCATCAGCCTTCAAAGCATCTTTTTTCTGTTCTAAATGCAGAAAACAAAAATACAATGGGAACATTTTCTCTCTGGGAAAAAAACAGCCAAAGGCTTGAGTAACCAGGTACGAGAGAGAAAGTCAAATCTCCCTGAGCCATTCTATGGAACAGCTCGCTCTTAAGTGGCACAGCAGCATGACATAAAAGAGGATATATCATCCAGAGCGAGTGGGCGATTTGCTCTGATTTAACCGGGGAGGCTGGGCAGATAAACTCTCTTTTGCTAAATACTTTGGCAATCGTCTCCATTTTCTCAAATCTTCACCCAACAACAGGTTTACGCATCTAATGAAGATGTTCCTATCACAGGGGTGCAGTCTCTCTTTATTACCCTCTAATCACACCCTGAGTAGTGGCGGCATTTGTTATTAAGACGAGCCAGAATTTCATTATTTTCCAGTTTGATCGGGAAGTGAGGTTGGTAAAGTGGCACTGAGACAGAAAGAGAGAGAGAGACAATCTTCCTTTAACTACATGGCACTGAGTGTGCAAGTCAGTCAGACAATCGCTTCAATTATTATGCAAATATAAACCAGCAGCAAGCCAACAGAGCTGCTACTAAACTATTCCATTAATTCACACCTGTCCTTTAATTACTCGTTTTAGGGGAAAATGAGGGAGAGGAGTGTGCCGGGGAATGTGCTGTGTTTTTTTTTTATATATAAAGTGATGTGAGACGTCTGATCTCCCATAACATCACCATATATGTATGAACACGTATGAAGTTCTCTTTTCTGATGCACTACTTAGACCAGAACAGGTCACTCCTTTAGAGCAACATTGTCAGCTGCGGGTGTGGCAACATCGTGGAAGTGAGACAAAACCATTCACTGTATATAAAAGATGGCAGTAAACCCTATAGTCCTATAATTTAAGTTTGATCGTTTGATTTGTGTGGTTTGTTTGAGGCCTTTGTCAAACACAGGCTGTCAATATAGTCTAACTTGTTGAAACTCTGTGAAGTAGAAGCTGAAAACAATTTTCACTGCCGTGATTCCCATGATGGCGAGGCTGAAACACCTTCTGCACAAAATACACCTGGGCTTGAATACATTTGCAGTACTTTTTTTAAATCAAATTTACACTTCACACTATTTCTTCATGCTCACAGACGGAGCAACCTGGTCACCATTTGCTCTCCAAAAGAAAAACTCTAGAAATTTTTAGGGCTTTGCTGGTTTTAATAATACAAATTGTTGATTTTTTGATCAGAGATTTAAATGCAATTAAATCTAGCAATCGTTGCTGCATTTTGCAATTTCATTGTTAACAATTTGGCTGCTGCCGTCAGGGGTTTTTGGAGCTAGAAACGACTGTATATCTGGAAAACAGGGTAGAGTGCTAAGTTATCGGCTAATGTTTGTGAGTTTTTTTAGCAAGCTATGTCCATAAACTATAGATCTGTAATTCATACACAGACAAAAACACATGAGTAACAGATTATTATAATATTATAATTTCACTCACCAATATTGAAGAACAAAAATATGTGAAAAACCCCAAACTAACTGCAGGTGCTTCTCCTGACACACCTGTCAAAGTAGCCCTAACTTTATGTGTTTTATATCTAAATGTACGAGTTTTATTTGTAAAAGAATTTGTCTTGTGTTTTTGTAGCGCGCTGTAAAACACGCGTTTTAATGATAGCATTTAATATTTTCCCACAGGAGTTTTTTCCCCACTCACTTTTGGAGCCACCCTCAAGTGGCCATTAGAGGAACTGCAGTTTTTGGTGCTTTAGTGCTACCTTTGCTTTTTAGACCTGGAGGTTGTCATTTGTACAAAATACAGAAACAGAGGTGCACTCTGTCGTTACCCACCCATTGCACCAGTGGCATCTGATTCATTAAGTCCTGAGCCATGTAAATGAAAATTAGGGTTTATATACACATGTTGGCACTAATTGTGTAGCACTTCCTACGTAGCCACTAAAGCAGAGAAATATCAACTACATGCCTGTTGCCCGCTGTTGCACAACATTTCAGGGAAACCTGCCATTCAAACACAGAAACCGCACCAAAACGTTACATTGAATGTTCACATTATTACACCACTGCACTGCATTTTGGGGCTTTTACATCATGACATCGTGTCCAGTAGGCTTACTTTATATTGTAATATTCATGGGACGTTATTCACTTTCCATAAAGGCAAATATGAACAGATGAATAATACAGTTCAAATAAATTTGCAGCATCATTTAATTATAACAAGAAGCATATTCACTTTGTATTTGTCTGATGTAATATGGTTGGTACCTCAGAAGAATGAGTTTATCTAAGCTGAAGCTCATTTATTCCTTATCTTTTTTTTTTTTAAACTGTCTTTACCCAGATACTGCTACAGTGTACATGCTATCTTGGCAGAGGGCCGACATATTTATTATAATTATTCGTGCGTCACTTTAATTGAAAGTTTGAAAAGATATTTTTAATACTGTTCTCACTGGGGCTGGCCACACTGACTCATTATTCCTGGAAAGCGACAGGACATTTGACATTTTTGCAAATGTCACCCTCGGAGCTGTGAGCACCAACAAACTGCGGTTCAGCTGTGTGTTGGCACATTTGTGTTTTATTTTAACAATATTTATTGTGTACAGGCATTCACATCTCAGCTGTAGCTAATACACGTGTTGTGGATTATTCCAGATGAACAGACTTGACTTAAAGATTTGAAAGCTCAAAAAAAAAAAGTCAGATTAAATGAGAAAATATGTTTTGCATATTGGATGAAATGGCCGTTTATTTCTCATCTCCACTGGATCTGACTGAAGCAAATAAATTCCAATTGTGTTGTTTGTGAATTTTTAGCACAGCTTTGCAGATTTCTCCCTTTATCAGACGAGGTTTACTGTTGCTATGCGTCCAAAGTCAGTTTCTGTGTATTTAATTCTCTTCTTTTATAAGATTTTATCAAACCTGTAATCAGTGTAAACATGACTAACAGATGAGCAGTGATGCCTGCGCGGTCGTTCCAGCCAAAACCCAGGAACATGTCAGTGTATGAAGGCATTCTGACACAAAATGACCCAACTTAAGGCCTGAATTATTTCCTTAAGAAAAAGAAACAGCATCTTCTTAAGGGACTGAAACAGTAATTTCCAGTATATGTATATCCCAAAGGATTACACGGAGGCTTTGCTGTCAGTATTAAAGGAACAGCTTCCTGCATTAATTATTGCTTCTCTGAATGAGGACTGGTGCTGTTATTTTTTGCTTTTTATCCTCGGATGTCTGTGAGCACATAGAGATCCTAAATTATTCATTTGTGCCGACTACGAAACGTCCCCTATGGATCTTAATCGAGGCTGAAGACCTCGGGGCCCGATTTTCCATGAATGAATAAAAAGTTTCCTCCTTAACGCAAAGAAGCGGCCGCGGTGAGCGCAGCGCTGCGGTCCACAGTGCGCTCCGGCTGCCTGTTTGGGGCCGTGACATCGGTTAGGGCCTCTGTGACACTACACTGACGGTTCAAACGCAAAATAATGAGATTTAAAATCAGTCAGACAAATAAATCAATGCGGTAAATGTATAAACAACAACAGGAACCCCTTCAGAAATCGCCACAACACCTCCGGGTGCATTAACATAGCTGCTGCTTTTGCAGCTCGTCTCTTGTCTAACAGAGTTTCATTAGGTCTTCCTCTCCACTGGCTCTTCATCACTGTTTTCATGGAGCCAGCTCGAGAGTGGATTCAAAACATTAGCGCGACTCGGCGGCTGATCGCGTGGTTTATGCTTTATTTGCGTGATTAAAATAAGAATACAGGGCTCCTCTCAGTGACAGGAAAAAGACAGAGCATCGGGGTCTTACCGTCAGCGGCCAGGGAGCTCTGCATCATCAGCATCAGCACCGCGCCGATGGTCACAAACCACCGGGCCACCATTCCATTCAGCACGCGCGTCCTCTTCCCGGTCCTCGGCGAGTAGACGGCCACCATCCCCGCATCCAGGATCCATAGTGACGAGGAGGAAGAGCAGGGGTCTTCTTTCTTATTTACCCCTCCGACCCCGGGGCCACCGCTGCTGGAGAGGCGCGCATGTTTGGGAGCCATTGGTCAACCAATTAATCCTGAATGGGAAACATCTAACGGCGCTGCTGGGATGAAAGGCATCCGATCAACCTGCCCCCGGTTCGGACAAGCAGGGCTCCGCTCTCCATGAGCCTGCTGGAGGCTGTGAAGGTCGACGAGGAAACAAAGAAGCGTTAGTTTTCTCCTTTTGCGCGTCTGGCTGTGTCAGTTTCTGTGTGCGTGCGTGAAGTCTGATGTCCCTACTGCGTCCGCAAGGCGCTCTCCATATCTGCTGGCAGCTGTGTCAATGCACAGATACAGACCCGGAAATCAACCGAAGTTCTCTTCAAAATAAAACCGCGTGCACTTTGTATACACGAGCTATTCTTCAGGCTGTGAACCAGATTAATGCAAGAATTATATGCTGCCAAAGTTTATAGGAGAACAATATTTTCCGTCAGCCGCAATGCTGATTCAATAAAAAAAACTAGAGGATAATACTGATAATGCATTCCTTCAAATGAACATAAGTAAGAAGCAAATATGAAATAAATATGAAAACTGATTTTCCAATCCATGTCTTGCAGGTCTGTAAAAGTCTCCGGTTTCTGTCTTGTTTCTGTTTTCCTGTGCATTGCTACTCTCAGTTTTTGGCCCTGAAAGTTTTGACATCTTCGATGTTTTTCTTTGTACTTACCTCAAACATAACGCTTTCTTCTAGCTACCTGGCTGTCGCATCTGTTCGCAATTAACTCATCACCATCTTCCTGCATTTTCATCAACCACTCCTCGCCAGACTATTCCCCTCGTTGCTCCTTTAAATTGTTTATTTTTTTCTTTTAGTGCGAGATTTACTTACATTTAACAGTTCAGAATGTCTGGATTTAATTTTAAATCTTAAATGTCTGTATTATTTAGAAGCAGGATCTAGTGATGACATTAGCACATTTTTAAAGTTAATTTCTGAAATTTTAAATTGAGAAGAAAAGTCTTTTTTTATGCAAATAATTTTGGTTACCAGAAGCCCACTGCACTTGTGGTGCCACAGCTTTTTTTTAAAAGTAAGAGGAAGAAGAAACACAACCTGAGTGACTGAACTCCAGCAATCATTTTTAAACAGAACAACTCAATGAGATTGTAGTCAGCAGTGGTAAGCTTTACTTCTACAAACATCAACAAATTATAAAAAATAAAGGGTTGGGATGTTCTGTGTCCGTCTGACTAACGAGCGCACACTCCCAAGTTACCTCACAGGCCAGAAGTGACCTTTTCATAAAGGGTGACATCCAAATTTTTTGCACTTCAAATTGTTCCAGCTGTCTATTGTGCATTATTATCTTAGTGGTGCATCCACTAATATATGGTTCTTTTAAGCACACTAACTCAGCTCCACACTCACTGTGGGCACCTGGCACTGATCTGTGTATGGTTTTGTGTGTTTCACAGAACAGGTTTAAGGCAGGTGTATTTGATTGTGCTTCCACTTTAGTTTACTTATACTCCACAATCCAAACAATGATGTCACCTTTTCCTTTTGCAGTAAACTGACTTATTCCTATATAGTGATTTTTCTATGCTACTTGAGCGTTTCAGATGCTTTATACAGAACGCCTCATTCACACATATTTACATTCATACAAACACCTTTTTTCTACGTTTAACTGATCGCTATCGCTATTGAATTGGGAGCAACTGAGGTTTTCAGTGCACTAGAGTGTAGCGCAGTTCGCAATGTACCAAGTGTTCTGTCCCTGTAGCAAATAAGACACCAGGCTGTTTCCCCCATTAATTTTTATGCGTATTTTGGTTTTGGTGTTCTGTCTATTAAATTTTAAAAATTTCCCTTTTATGTATACATTCTATTTTAAAAATTGCATAGTTTGCCTAAAGCTCAGAGTAATGGTCAACAATCTGTGGTACAAACATACCTCAAATGCATTAGATCCAAATAATTGAAAAGAAGTCTGCATTCCTGGGAGATTCCACACGTTAAACCTACCTTTATTAGGCGGTGTCACCCTGAGGTTAAAATGGGCCACAGGCCAGACCTTCAGAGACCTTTTAGGAGAGCAATGACACTCAAAGAATCCTGAATGTTTTGGGAAAGAGTTTCCAGAGTGAAGAAAATGTCATTTTATGAACTTATTTATGGGGGAAATCAAGAAACTTTTAAAGAGGTTTATCAGAGTTTATGCGTATATAATTCCCTCGAAGCACAGGCAGACGCAAATGGGGTTCCGGTATTCCAGATTAACTGGCGTCGCAGATTAACTGGATTTGGTCGAACAGACGTGTGGCAGATTTGCGTTTCACGAGCTGCTATCGACAAACCAGCAAAAAAACAAACAAAACGCCAAATGTGTCATCTAAAATAAACAACAAAACACGATAAATCAATAAAGACCTCGTTGGTCGCATGCTCCAAAAAGGGAATTAGCCGCCGTTCTTCTGAGCTTTCCTTTAACCGTGTGTATCTAAAGTCCATCCCACGTAACATGACTTTCAATAAAGACCATTATTGCTGCGTGCTTACAGGTGTTTTCTCCTTTTTTTTCTCCCCAAAAAGGAAAACCAACGCCACTTTTAAGCAAACTTGACCTTCAAAATAAAAGCACAAATAACTTTAACATAAAATAAAATAACATAAAATAATGTACGGCTTAAACAATTTATAATGATGACATGGACCTTGACAAGATAAAGAAATAATCTAAATTATATAAACAATGTCATCATGCCAACAGCTACACTATACATGTGTTTTTGTCATATGCCAGATAATTTATATACTTCTTGAAAATAACGGATTTGTTTATTTTCATTATATTTCCAAATAATGACATATAATGAAATAAATAAGCTATAGCCAGTTTAAGTCAATAGTATGACAGTGACAAATTAAATATAATATGTATGTGACAAAAAGAGAGTTCCGGAGGTGAAACGTGGTTCTAGGATGATAAAGCTACAATTTCCTTAAGGCTTGCCTGGTCCAGCTGCTCATTTAACACTTTTTGTTCTTGTAAAACCAATTTATACGAGTTTAGATTTTCCGCGACGCTCACTTCCGGTCGTGTTCTGCTAACTGCGGCCACCTTGACGCATCTTCCTGCAGGTAGAAACAGCCTGTGTGTTTGGTGTAATTACGTTGGAAATGACAGGAACACACTGGATCTAACAGACTAATTATCCCCCCGTCTAAAAACTGAGATGAGACATGAAACTTTTGTATAAGTAGTAGATTAACTCCCGCATTATTCCGAAAGAGGACCGAAACCCCGGGCGGGCAGTGTTTGTGGCTGAGTTCAGCTGGAAACAGGCGACCCCTGGTGGCAGCCGGAGGAACGGCCTCAAAGTGAACTCCATCGTTACACAGTTCCCTCTGTGCCCAATTCGCTGTAATAGAAACAGAGGTGGTTCGAGTATCCAAAAACTGTACTCAAGTAAGAGTAGCATTACTTTAAAATAATTTTACGTAAGTAAAAGTGAAAACTAGTCGTCAAAAAAGTTACTCAAGTAAGAGTAAAAAAGTACTTGGTGAAAAGACTACTTAAGTAGCGAGTATCAGACAAACAAAAATAAATAAATATACAAATTTCAGTATTTTCAAAAGGAATATATGTAAAAAGATCAACAAAATTAGGCACAACAATTCTAATTTTCAGATTTCAGTTTTTCACAACATAAAGTTTTTTTCACCAATACCTACAGTAAATAATACAAATATATAAATAGTGCAAACAACTTCCAGTGACAAGATGCTGTAAACTTTATATTCATTATTTCTATTATAGAAATAATAGTGCTCCCACCAGTCATACTCCAGGACCATGCATTTGTATAGATCATCATCTAACCCGCACAGATTGAGGCCTGCAGAGAAGCTACCTGGTAGGCCTGTTTGCACAAAGCTCAAATCACACAAATAAATAAAATAAAAGTGCAACTGCTGGCTTTTTTCTGACAGAGAAAAATCTGATGTTTTGTTCATTCTGTTTGCACACTTTTGCACCTTTATTAGAAAAGCAATGGAGTAACAGAATGGTCAGGATCAGAAACTCAAACATTCATTCAAACATATTAACTAACAGGTCGAGCAGTTAGTTAATAAAAGTTAATCAAGAGGCGATGCGGAGATGATGTTGAATATGGACTTTCCAGGCAGGAGGAAAAGTGGAAGACTGCTAAGAAGATTTATGGACGTAGTGTGACAGAGAGGACACTAAGGATAGGGTGAGATGAGGCAGATGATCCGCTCTGGTGAGAAGCCGAAGAAGAAGATCTAATTGGGTTCAGTAATAAAATATTTTCACTAATGACGGCTTTTGTGGTCCAGGTGACAAGTTGGGTTGTTGTAGCGAAAGTGCACCATTGTTAGTAATGACAACCTTTCCACAATTAATTCTTTACAGCAGTTAATCATATTTTTAATCACATTTTTTCATTGGTAATAAAAATCCAAAGGGAAGGGGACATTCGTGTGTGTTTGTTTGTTCTATCTAAATTTTTAACCTAATAAAGTCAGGCATCGTTATTTTGCCAGCTTTAAAGTTAACATTTTATTCCCATGCTCTCTCCAGATAGGCATGTCTACTATTTTTGACGAAATGGGATGCTGCCCAAACTCAAAAGCCACATATTTCCACCATCTCCAGCTGAATTGATCACTTGAAGTTGTGATAGGAGGGGACATGTCACAGTAGTGTCAGAAAGAGGATGAATGAATGGAAATGCAAGTAATTATTGTTTAAAACATGAGGTTTGGTTTGGCACAGGGCGCAGGCTCCGTGGTGGGCTGATATCTGATGCTTGAACAAATACCTGCAGAGTTGCATCACATAAAAAAGTTCTGTTTTAGGCCAGCGAGTGTTCTTCTGCTTGATAGATGGAATCCTTGTTGTGTTGTCTGCACAGTATCCAAATGTCAGCTTGCACTTTGCTTTTCCGGATCAAAGAAAAAGGCAGAGCAACCAACGAATTTATGATTTAACTTGTATGTTCATCTGTAGGGTGTAGCTGTAGGAACCCCAGAGTGCACCAAGACACTCCAGTCCTACAGGTGAGATTAACCTGCTGGCAGCTGATGCTTTAGCTTGTCTGTCTCTGCAAATCCATGTTCAGAGTGTGAAAACTATTACTGCAATGTT